AGCAAGTTCACGATCTCCTACAGACACAAGTTCCCATGATCTCCAGTGGGGAGTTCTCACGGTCTCCTACAGAGAGCAAGTTCCCTGATCTCCTACAGAGACTAAGTTCCCATGATCTCCTAGACACCAAGTCCACGATCTCCTACAGAGAACGTTCCCACGGTCTCCTACAGAGAGCAAGTCCCACGGTCTCTACAGAGAGCACGTTCCCAGTCTCTAAGGCGCACGTCCACGGAGCACGTTCTGTCTCCACAGAGAGCACGTTCCCCGGTCTCCTACAGAAAGCAAGTTCCAACGATCTCACACACTACTAAGTCCCCACGGTCTCACCACAGAGCAAGTTCCACGGTCTCCTACAGAGAGCAAGTTCCCACGGTCTCCTACAGAGAGCAAGTTCCTACGATCCTACAGACACAAATCACTGTCTCCTAGAGGCAAGTCCCACGGTCTCCTACAGACACTAAGTCCCCATTATCTCCAAGAGCAAGTTCCACGGTCTCTAAGAGCAAGTTCCCACGGTCTCCCACAGAAAGCAAGTTCCACGATCTCCTACAGGCACTAAGTTCCCATGATTCTCCGGTGAGAGAGTTCCCAGTCTCCTACAGAGAGACACGTTCCCACAGTCTCCTACAAGAGCAAGTTCACGATACCCTACAGACACAGAAGTCCCCACAGTCTCCGGAGAGGAGTTCCACGGTCTCCAACAGAGAGCAAGTTCACAGTCTCCTACAGAGCAACTCACGGTCTCACAGAGAGCAAGTTCCCACGATCTACTACAGGCACTAAGTTCCCTGATCTCCGTGAGGGAGTTCACGATCTCCTACAGACACTAAGTCCACGGTCTCTTACAGAGAGCCAAAGTTCCCACGGTCTCCTACAGAGAGCAAGTTCCCAGTCTCCTACAGGCCACACGTTCCCACGGTCTCCTACAGAAAGCAAGTTCACGATCTCCTACAGACACTAAGTTCCCACTGATCTCCGGTGAGGAGTTCTCACGGTCTCCTACAGAGACCACGTTCCCATGATCTACCTACAGACACTAAGTTCCCACAGTCTCCTACAGAGCAAGTTCCCACGGTCTCCTACAGACACAAGTTCCCACGGTCTCCTACAGAGAGCAAGTTCCCACGGTCTCTACAGAGAGCAAGTTCCCACGATCTCCTACAGACACCAAGTTCCACGGTCTCCTACAGAGAGCAAGTTCCCACGGTCTCCTACAGACACTCAAGTTCCCACAGTCTCCTACAGACACTAAGTTCCCATGATCTCCTACAGAGCAAGTTCCCGATCCTACAGACACTAAGTTCCCCGGTCTCCTAGCCCACAGTCTACAGAGCACGTTCCCGATCTCCTACAGAGACCAAGTTCCCACGGTCTCCTACAGAGCACGTTCCCACGGTCTCCTACAGAAAGCAAGTTCCACGATCTCCTACACACACACTAAGTTCCCATGATCTCCAGTGAGGAAGTTCACGGTCTCCTACAGAGAGCACGTTCCCACGATCTCCTACAGACACCAAGTTCCTGATCTCCTACAGAGATCAGTTCCCCGGTCTCCTAAGAGAGCACGTTCACGATCTCTACAGAGACCAAGTTCCCACGGTCTCCTACAGAGAGACACGTTCCCAGGTCTCCTACAGACACTAAGTTCCCACGGTCTCCTACAAGACACTAAGTTCCACAGTCTCCTACAGAGAGCAGTTCCACGGTCTCCTACAGAGAGCACGTTCCCACGGTCTCCTACAGAAAGCAAGTTCCCACGATCTCCTACACACTAAGTTCCATGATCTCCGGTGAGGGAGTTCCCACGGTCTCTACAGAGAGCACGTTCCACGATCTCCTAAAGACACCAAGTTCCCAGTCTCCTACAGAGCAAGTTCCACGGTCTCCTACAGAGAGCACGATGATCCACAGAGAGCACGTTCCCACGGTCTCCTACAGAAAGCAAGCCCACGATCTCCTACACACACTAAGTTCCTGATCTCCGGTGAGGAGTTCCCACGATCTACAGAGCAAGTTCACGATCTCCGACACTAAGTTCCCACGGTCTCCTAAAGAGCAAGTTCCCACGATCTCCTACACAGAGAACATTTCCCACGGTCCTCCTACAAGCAAGTTCCCGATCTCCTACAGACACCAAGTCCCACGGTCTCCTACAGAGGCAAGTTCCACGGTCTCCTACAGAGAGCAAGTTCCCACGGTCTCCTACAGAAAACAAGTTCCCGATCTCCTACAAAGCACTAATTTCCCGATCTCCAGAGAGAGTTCCCACGGTCTCCTACAGAGAGCAAGTTCCACGGTCTCCTACAGGCACAAGCTCCACGGTCTCCTACAGAGACAAGTTCACGATCTCCTACAGGCACTAAGTTCCCATGATCTCCGGTGAGGAGTTCACGGTCTCCTACAGGAAACAAGTCCCACGGTCTCCTACAGAGAGCAAGTTCCCGATCTCCTACAGACACTAAGTTCATGGTCTCCTACAGAGCAAGTTCCCACGATCTCCTACAGACACTCAAGTTCCCGGTCTCCTACAGACACTAAGTCCCCAGGGTCTCCTACAGAGAGCAAGTTCCCGTCTCCTACAGGCACTAAGTTCCCATGATCTCTGGTGAGGAGTTCCCCGGTCTCCTACAGAGAGCAAGTTCCCACGGTCTCCTACAGACACTAAGTTCCCACAGTCTCCTACAGAGAGCAAGTTCCCCGATCCCTACAGAGAGCAAGTTCCTACGATCCCTACAGACACTAAGTCCCCACGGTCTCCTATAGACACCAAGTTCCCACGGTCTCCTACAGACACTAAGTTCCCACAGTCTCCTCAGGAAGCAAGTTCCCACGATCCTACAGAGAGCAAGTTCCTGATCCCCTACAGACACTAAGTCCCCACGGTCTCCTATAGACACCAAGTTCCCCACGGTCTCCTACAGAAACAAGTCCCCACGGTCTCCTACAGAGAGCAAGTTCCCACGGTCTCCTACAGAGCACGTTCCCACGGTCTCCTACAGAGAAATTCCCAATACCTACAGACTGAAGTCCCCATGATCTCCGGTGAGGTTCCCAGCTCTCCTACAGAGAGCAAGTTCCACGGTCTCCTACAGAGAGCAAGTTCCCACGGTCTCCTACAGAAGCAAGTTCTGATCTCCTACAGACACTAAGTTCCATGATCTCCGGTAGAGGTTCCATGGTCTCCTACAGAGAGCAAGTTCCACGATCTCCTACAGGCCCTAAGTTCCCGATCTCAGTGAGGTTACGGTCTCTACAGAGAGCACGTTCCCAGTCTCCTATAGACACTAAGTTCCCACAGTCTCCTACAGAGAGCAAGTTCCACGATCTCCTACAGGCACTAAGTTCCCATGATCTCCAAGTTCACCTGTCTCCTACAGAGCAAGTTCCCGATCTCCTACAGACACTAAGTTCCCACAGTCTCCTACAGAGCAAGTTCCCACGATCTCCTACAGGCACTAAGTTCCCATGATCTCCGGTGAGGGTTCCACCTGTCTCCTCCAGAGAGCAAGTTCCAGATCTCCTACAGACACTAAGTTCCTGATCTCCTACAGAGAAAGTTCACGATCTCCTACAGGCACTAAGTTCCCATGATCTCCGGTGAGGGGTTCCCAGTCTCCTACAGAGAGCAAGTTCCCACGGTCTCCTACAGAGAGAAGTTCCACGGTCTCCCAGAAAGCAAGTTCCCACGATCTCCTACAGGCACTAAGTTCCCATGATCTCCGGTGAGGGAGTTCCACAGTCTCCTACAGAGAGCAAGTTCCCACGATCTCCTACAGGCACTAAGTTCCCATGATCTCCCGGTGAGAGTCCCCACGGTCTCCTACAGAGAGCACATTCCCCGATCTCCTAGAACACTAAGTCCCCAGGGTCTCCTACAGAGCAAGTTCCCAGTCTCCTACAGAGAGCAAGTTCCCACGGTCTCCCACAGAAAGCAAGTTCCCACGATCTCCTACAGGCACCTAAGTTCCATGATCTCCGGTGAGGAGTCCCCCGGTCTCCTACAGAGAGCACGTTCCCACGATCTCCACAGACCTAAGTCCCCAGGGTCTCCTACAGAGAGCAAGTTCCACGGTCTCCTACAGAGAGCAAGTTCCCCGGTCTCCCACAGAAAGCAAGTTCCCGATCCCCTACAGGCACTAAGTTCCCATGATCTCGGTGAGGGAGTTCCCACGGTCTCCTACAGAGAGCAAGTTCCCACGGTCTCCTACAGACACTAAGTTCCATGATCTCCGGTGACGGAGTTCCACAGTCTCTACAGAGAGCAAGTTCCCACAGTCTCCTACAGACACTAGTTCCCATAGTCTCCGGTGACGGAGTTCCACGGTCTCCTACAGAAGCAAGTTCCCCAGTCTCCTACAGACACTAAGTTCACGATACCCTACAGACACGAAGTCCCCATGATCTCCGGTAGAGGAGTTCCCAGTCTCCTACAGAGAGCAAGTTCCCACGGTCTCCTACAGAAACAGAAGTTCCACGGTCTCCTACAGACACTAAGTTCCCATGATCTCCCGGTGACGGAGTTCCCACGGTCTCCCACAGAGAGCAAGTTCCCCCAGTCTCCTACAGACACTAAGTTCCCACGATACCCTACAGACACTAAGTCATGATCTCCGGTGAGGGAGTTCCCAGTCTCCTACAGAGCAAGTTCCCACGGTCTCCTACAGAGCAAGTTCCCACGGTCTCCCACAGAAAGCAAGTTCCACGATCTCCTACAGGCACTAAGTTCCCCGATACCCTACACACCCTAAACTCCAGTCTCGTGAGGGAGTTCCCAGTCTCCTACAGAGAACAGTTCCACGGTCTCCTACAGAACAGAAGTTCCCACGGTCTCCCACAGAAACAAGTTCCCACGATCTCCTACAGACACTAAGTTCGATACCCTACACACACTAAGTTCCCATGATCTCCGGTGAGGGAGTTCCCAGTCTCCTACAGAGCAAGTTCCCACGGTCTCCTACAGAGAGCAAGTTCCGGTCTCCTACAGACACTAAGTTCCCATGATCTCCGGTGACGGAGGTTCCACAGTCTCCTACAGAGAGCAAGTTCCCCAATCTCTACAGACACTAGTTCCCGATACCCTACAGACACTAAGTCCCCATGATCTCCGGTGAGGGGTTGTCTCCTACAGAGAGCAAGTTCCACGGTCTCCTACAGAGACAAGTTCCCACGGTCTCCCACAGAAAGCAAGTTCCCACGATCTCCTACAGGCACTAAGTTCCCATGATCTCCGGTGAGGGAGTCCCCACGGTCTCCTACAGAGAGCATTCACGATCTCCTACAGACACTAAGTTCCCAGATCTCCTACAGAGCAAGTTCCCACGATCCCTACAGACACTAAGCCCCACGGTCTCCTACAGAGCACGTTCCCTGATCTCTCCTACAGAGAGCAAGTTCCCCGATCCCCTACAGACACTAAGCCCCACGGTCTCCTACAGAGAGCAAGTTCCCCGGTCTCCCACAGAAAGCAAGTTCCCGGCCTCCTACAAAGAGCAAGTTCCCACGATCCTATAGACACCAAGTTCCCGGTCTCCTACAGACACTAAGTCCCCAGGGTCTCCTACAGAGAGCAAGTTCCCACGATCTCCCACAGAAAGCAAGTTCCCACGATCTCCTACAGGCATTAAGTTCCCATCATCTCCGGTGAGGGAGTTCCCTGATCTCCAGAGAGCAAGTTCCTACGATCCTACAGACACTAAGTTCCACGGTCTCCTACAGAGCACGTTCCCTGATCTCCTACAGAGCAAGTTCCCACGATACCCTACAGACACTAAGTTCCATTATCTCGGTGAGGAGTTCCCACGGTCTCCTAGAGAGAGAAGTTCCCCGGTCTCCTACAGAGAGCAAGTTCCACGGTCTCCTAAGAGCAAGTTCCTACGATCCCCTACAAGCACTAAGTCCCAGGGTCTCCTACAGAAAGCAAGTTTCCACGATCTCCCACAGAAAGCAAGTTCCCACGATCTCCTACAGGCACTAAGTTCCATTATCTCCGGTGAGGAGTTCCCACGGTCTCCTACAGACACTAAGTCCCCAGGGTCTCCTAGAGAGCACGTTCCCACGATCTCCAGAAAGCAAGTTCCCCGGTCTCCTACAGAAGCAGTTCCCACAGTCTCCTACAGAGAGCAAGTTCCCCGGTCTCCTACAGAGAGCAAGTTCCACGATCCTTGGCACTAAGTTCCCATTATCTCGGTGAGAGTTCCTACGATCCCCTACAGACCTAGGTCCCCAGGGTCTCCTAGAGCACGTTCCCAGTCTCCTACAGAGAGCAAGTTCCCCAATACCCTACAGACACGAAGTCCCCATGATCTCCGGTGAGGTTCCCACGGTCTCCACAGAAAGCAAGTTCCCGATCTCCTACAGGCACTAAGTTCCCATGATCTCCGGTGAGCAAGTTCCACGGTCTCCCACAAGCAAGTTCCCACGATCTCCTACAGACTAAGTTCCCACAGTCTCCTACAAGAGCAAGTTCCCACGATACCTACAGACACAGAAGTCCCCATGATCTCGGTGAGGGAGTTCCCACAGTCTCCCACAACAAGTTCCCACGATCTCCTACAGGCACTAAGTTCCCATGATCTCCGGTGAGCAAGTTCCCACAGTCTCCCACAGAAAGCAAGTTCCACGATCCTACAGACCTCGCCCCACACTTCTACAGAGCAAGTTCCCCGATCTCCTACACACACTAAGTTCCCATGATCTCCGGTGAGGGGTTCCACGGTCTCCTACAGAGAGCACGTTCCCACGGTCTCCTACAGAGCACGTTCCCCTGATCTCTACAGAGAGCAAGTTCCCACGATACCCTACAGACACGAAGTCCCCACGGTCTCCTACAGAGAGCAAGCCACGGTCTCCACAGATAGCAAGTTCCCACGATCTCCTACAGACAATAAGTTCCCATGATCTCCGGTGAGAGTTCCTGATCTCCTACAGAGAGCACGTTCCCACGATCTCCTACAGACACTAAATCCCCATGATCTCCGGTGAGGAGTTCCCAGTCTCTCAGAGAGCAAGTTCCCGGCCTCCTACAAAACAAGTTCCCACGATCTCCTAGACACCAAGTTCCCACGGTCCTGACACCTAAGTTCCCCAGTCTCCTACAGAGAGCAAGTTCCCCGATCCCCTACAGAGAAAGTTCCCACGATCCCCTACAGAGCAAGTTCCACAGTCTCCTACAGAAAGCAAGTTCCCCACAGTCTCCTACAGAAAGCAAGTTCCCACAGTCTCCTACAGAAGCAAGTTCACAGTCCTCTACAGAAAGCAAGTTCCCCAGTCTCCTACAGAAAGCAAGTTCCCACAGTCTCCTACAGAAAGCAAGTTCCCATGATCTCAGTGAGGTTCCCATGATCTCCAGTGAGGGGTTCCAGTCTCCTGAGAGGAGTTTCACGGCCTCCTACAAGGCAAGTTCCCACGATCTCCTAGACACCAAGTTCCCACGGTCTCCTACAGACACTAAGTTCCCAGTCTCCTACAGAGAGCAAGTTCCCCGATCCCCTACAGAAAGTTCACGATCCCCTACAGAGCAAGTTCCCACAGTCTCCTACAGAAAGCAAGTTCCCCAGTCTCCTACAGAAAGCAAGTTCCTGATCTCCTACAGAAAGCAATTCCTGATCTCCTACAGAAAGCAAGTTCATGATCTCCGGTGGGGAGTTCCCATGATCTCCAGTGAGGGAGTTCCAGTCTCCTACAGAGAGTTTCGGCCTCCTACAAGGGAGCACGTTCCCACGGTCTCCTACAGAAAGCAGTTCCCCAGTCCCTGACACTTAGTCCCCATGATCTCCGGTGAGGAGTTCCCGGCCTCCTACAGAGCACGTTCCCGGTCTCCTATAAGCAAGTTCCCATGATCTCCTAGACACCAAGTTCCCATGATCTCCGGTGAGGGAGTTCGCAGGGTCTCCTACTGGGAGCAAGTTCCCAGTCTCCTACTGAGTGCAAGTTCCCACGGTCACGCAGAGAGGTGCTGCCACGGTGTCTGCAGATGCTGCTCCCACGGTGTTCTGCGGAAGAGATGCCCTGCAGACAATACCACAGGTTGAAAGAATCTACAAACTAACCACAAAGAGGTGCTCACGATGTCCTGCAGAGGTGCCACCACGGTGTCCTGCGGAGGTGCCACCACGGTGTCTGCGGAGGTGCCACCACGGTGTCCTGCAGAATAGCTGCTCCCATGGTGTCCTGCGGAAAGAAGTACCCTGCAGACCTACCACAGGTTGAAAAAATCTACAAACTAACCACAAGGAGTGCTCCACGATGTCCTGCGGAGTGCCACCACGGTGTCCTGCAGGTGCCACCACGGTGTCCTGCAGATAGCTGCTCCCCATGGTGTCCTGCGGAAGAAGTACCCTGCAGACCTACACAGGTTGAAAGAATCTACAAACTAACCACAAGAGTGCTCCCACGATGTCCTGCGGAGGTGCCACCACGGTGTCCTGCGGAGGTGCCACCACGGTGTCCTGCGGAGTGCCACCACGGTGTCCTGCAGAGAGAGGTGCTCCCATGGTGTCCTGCGGAAGGTGCTCCCATTCACCAACCTGAAATAAAGAATCCAGGAAAATGTGAAGTTATAAACTGCACTGCAGTTACTCCCACAGTGACCTGGAGGTGCTCCACGGTGTCCTGCAGAGGTGTTCCCGGTGCCCTGGGAGGTTCTCCCGGTGTCCTGCGGAGGAGGTGCTCCCATTCACCAACCTGAAAATAAAGAATCAATGAAAATGTAAGTTATAAACTGCACTGCAGAGCTACTCACGGTGACCTGCGGAGAGGTGCTCCCAGTGACCTGTGGTGGTACTCCCACGGTGTCCTGCAAAGTGCTCCCACGGTGTCCTGTGGAGAGGTGCTCCCCGGTCCTGCGGTGAGAGGTGGTCCCATTCCCAGCAATCTTAAAATAAGCAATGGATGAAAATGTGAAGTTATGAACGGCACCATTTCATTAAAAATTACACAAAATTCTGGAAAGAAAACTAACTAGTCACTATAAAAGCACACACAAAAAAAAGGCAGGCCAGGCCAGAAGACCCAAAGTAGGTCCAGCCACAAGACCCAAAGTAGGCCTGCACAAGACCAAAGCAGGCCCAGCCACAAGACCCAAAGTAAGCCCAACCACAAGACCCAAACAGGCCCAGCCACAAGACCCCAAAAGCAGGCCCAGCCACAAGACCCAAAGTAGGCCCAGCCACAAGACCAAAGCAGGCCAGCCACAAGACCCAACAGGCTCAACCAGGAGACCCAAAGCAGATCCAGCCACAAGACCCAAAGCAGGTGCAGGCATAAGACCCAAAGCAGGCCCAGCCAGCAAGACAAAACAGGCCCAGCACCGCAAGACCCAAAGCAGGCCCAAACCAAAGACCCAAAGCAGGGCCCAACCAGGAGACCCAAAGCAGGCCCAACCAGGGGCCGTCAGGCCCAACTAGGAGACCCAAAAGCAGGCCCAGTCACAAGACCCAAAGCAGGGGCCCAGCCACAAGACCCAAAGCAGGCCCAGCCGCAAGACCCAAGCAGTCTCAACAGCAGAGGACCAAAGCAGGCCCAAGCAGGAGACCCCAAAGCAGGCTCAACTAGGGAGACCCAAAGCAGGCCCAGTCACAAGACCCAAAGCAGGCCCAGCCAGCAAGACCCAAAGCAGTCTCAACCAGCAGAGAACCCAAAGCAGGCCCAACCAGCAGAAGACCCAAGACAGGCCCAACCAGCAGAAAACCCAAAGCAGGCCCAACCAGCAGGGGACCCAAAGCAGGCCCAACCAGCAGAGACCCAAAACAGGCCCAACCAGCAGAAGTCCCAAAACAGGCCCAACCAGCAGAGAACCCAAAGCAGGCCCAACATGAAGACTAAAGCAGGCCCAACCAGCAGAAGACCCAAAGCAGGCCCAACCGCCAGGACCCAAAAGCAGGCCCAACCACCACCAAGACCAAAAGCAGGCCCAACATGAGACCCAAGCAGGTCCAACCAGCAAGGCAAAAGGGCCAACCAGCAGAGGACCCAAAGCAGGCCCAACCAGCAGAAGACAAAGCAGGCCCAACCAGCAGAAGACCCAAAAGCAGGCCCAACCAGCAGAAGACCCAAAGCAGGCCCAACCAGCAGAAGACCCAAAGCAGGCTCAACCAGCAGAAGACCCAAAAGCAGGCCAACCACAGGGACCCAAAGCAAGGCCCAACACCAGAGACCCCAAAGCAGGCCCAACATGAAGACCCAGCAGGCCCAACATGAAGACCCAAAGCAGGCCAACCAGCAGAAGACTCAAAACAGGCCCAACCAGCAGAAGACCTAAAGCAGTCCCAACCAGAGGACCCAAAACAGGCCCAACAACCAGATGACCCAAAGGTGCAGCAGTAAAAAAAATCACGTACTGAAAAACGCTAAGTACTACACTGATCCCACCTTGGAATTAATGGCTTCTGTTCAGCAGCCGGGCGAGTACTTCCGATACTGGTGGCCATGCAGATACACGATTCCTGTAAATAAATAAACCAATCTTAATGTGGATAATACAATTTAAACTTGGAATTTCTTAGCATCCATAACTATGTTCATGTGAGGCGGACGTACTTATAAATTAACCCGGGACGTGGCGTGCTGAAAATGGTCTGGACCTGCGCAGTTCTATGGAAACGTTAATGACAGCTTGAGGAGTGCTGAGATTACCTTCCCCATTAAAGATTAAGTTTGGTTATCTTTTGATCTAACTCCACAGGCCCAGAACATTTTCAGCACCTGTATATCACCACATGGCACTAGATCTTGTCTGGTTCACATTTCTTCAGTTTACGAAAAGAAAATGAACGCTAGTTTATATGGATTTTCCCCATACAGTACTGAGGCTCTAAAATGTACGTTATTTTCTTCTATCGCGAATATGTACGAGTGTCAATGCTTGTACGAGCATAAAGAAAATGAAATTAATAAAAAGGTCGAAGATAATTCAAGCTACAAATCCTTCCAAATGAATACTCTAAAATGTAAGTCAGTTTGTCCATCACAAACATGTACTAGTCTCAATACTTCTACAGACGTAAACAAAAATTCAAATTAAAAATTCTAAATAATTGAAGCAACAATTCAATTCATGAATAGTTTAGCTACCACTTATTTTCGTCCTCGTCAACCGTCACCCACTGAACTTCCTCTAAGTGGCTAAGTAAAATTCACTTTTTTTATAACTACCAGCTTCACACGCCATTTAGTTCACCTATATAAAAAATGTCAATTAATTCCAAAGATTTATGCTGGAATTGATGAAAATGGGATAAATACAATAGCGAAAAAGCGGTTCACTTGCAGAGCCTACCCTAGACCGCCAAGCGGCAAGTGCCACCCACTGGGCGGAGTGTCAGCCAGACGCGAGAAGCGAAAAGGGCGGGAAAATTATAATCTACAAATATGTACATATCTCAAGACAATTTGATCAGTTAAATATTAAATCAATTTGATAAAGTATTTTGAAAATAAGTACGAAAGAAAGAAAAAATACGGAACCATAACTTTTGGCAAGTAAATTAACCACAGACACTAATACATTTTGCTGGTCGAGCAAGAATCTCGGTGGAGAGAGAAACGCCAGCCATTACTCTGGTGTTTCATTATCATCGTTGACTTATCTTTTAAGTTATTAGCAAAAAACTGAAACATGCCTTGACATTTTGGCGCCAATTTCTCCAACTGTCAGTGCAGAGAAATTGGCGCCAAATAACTCCACAGAGAGGAACATCAGCTCATGTCCAAAAAATTCACTAAAATTAACTCGTGCGTATAATTTTTGCCCCATACAAACAAAGCTCTAAAGTGTTACGTTACTTTCGCCTATAACAAACAAGTGTCTCAATATTGTACGGGCGTAAATTTCCTTCAAACATTAAATGCCGAATGATAATTGACCGTTGTCATTTTTTCGGATACTTAGAAATTTCAAATAAAAAATTCTACTCAATTGAAGCACAATTCATTTCACATGAATAGTTTAACTACTTATCTTCGTCCTCGTCAACCGTCACCCACTGAACTTCCACTAATGGGTAGAATTTGTATAAGTGCACCTAACTGTTAGAAAGTCAAAATATATTTCTAGTGTATTTAGATAGGTTATGACCTACATTTCCGTTGGAAATTGGCCGGGTTTTTTTTTTTTTTTGGGGCGTTTTCAGAAGAAAAAAATAATGGCTAAGCAAATACGAAATACAAAAAAATGAAAAAACATAACAGCCTGGCTGACCTGACCTGACCTAACCTAACTGACTCTCACCATATGATGGAATCACTTATTTCATACCTTATTGGCCTGGTTCTCCTTCGCCGTTGGATTACCCCAATGCCACATATGTTGGGCGACGATATTTGCATTCGTTCTTGCACTTAGGACACTTTACTGAGGTCGGGAGAACGCCATGAGATCAAAAATGCTAGTTTCTTCGTTTTTCCACAAAAACTCGCAATTAGCTCCGTATAATTGAAGTGACACCCATCGCAAATTCCATTGTCGGAAAAGAATTTGAATTTCTAAATATGACCCAAAATAAAATCGTTTGATTGGGCCACAAATACCGCGAATTAAACCCAAATCATTTTAATTGGTTGCAAAAAAAACGCTTTTGATTGAGCCGTGTGACGTGCAGGAACGCATGCGCGTTATGATTTATGAAGGAGACACACAGCGTGGGAGGTGGTAGGCAATAATGGCGGATTAATGGAAGAAAAAAAGAAAATTTTGGATAAGCTATCTCCGTTATTAAACATTTACGACGGTAATGTAATAGATGAAAATAATCTTATAATTAGACGTCTTATTCGAATATAATAGATTAGTGGTAGAAATGTCGGGTGCGGAAATACAATACCAAATTATTATGTTTATAACTACCAGCTCCCCATTAGCCTTTTTTTTACGGAGATTAGCCCACTCGGGCACAACACTGACCCACATCAGTGCCTGGGGTGGAGAATATAATAATAATAATAATAATACAGTAATAAATGTAATATTGAAAATTAATATCTCGGTTATCCTTAATTTCCGGTGAAAATATATAGAAGTCTTAGAATTGTCTAAACATTAAGAAATACATATTAATAACGGCGAAAAAAAGACCGGTGTAAGACTATAAATTCACCATAATCATTAATAAAAATTATTAATAAATATTAATAAAAAATAAAAATTAAAATTTATAAAATAAAAATACCATAAATACAAAAAAACGAGAGCAAGAAACGATATTACAATATAAATATATATATATATATATAATATATATATTATATATATATATATATATATATTATATATATATATATATATATATATATATATATATATATATATATATATATATATATAATATATATATATATTATATATTATATATATATATATATATATATATATATATATATATATATATATATATATATAATTTTAGTGTTGTCAGTAGTAAGAAACAATTGAGACCCTTGTAAATGAGGCAGAGTCAGATCAGCAACCTGAGACTTGGTCACAATTTTTGTGATGCCTCGAGTTTTGAAACAGTACTTAATTCCCCAAATTTGTTGGAATTGATCAAAATAAAAAATCCAAATTGTAGGAAAGCAGCTCACCTGCACTGCCCATCGCAGACCGCCAAGCAACCAGTGCCGCCCAGTCAGCCAGACGCGGGAAGCGAAATAGGCGGGAATTTCATTTACAAATGTGTACGTATCTCAAGACAATTTGATCAGTTGAATATTAAAAATCGATGTAATAAAGTATTTTGAAAATAAGTTTACGAAAGGAAAATACGATAACCATTTCTGGCGTCAAGTAAGAATTAACCACGAACGTCAAGAATTGACCACAAACGCTAAGTTTTATAATATATATATATCATATATATATATATATATATATATATATATATATATATATATATACAGTATATATAAATATATATATATATATTTATATAACTGTGTATATATATATATATATATATATATATATATATATATATATATATATATATATATATATATATATATATATATATATATATATATATATATATATATATATATAAAAATAATAAATAATATATAATAATAAAAAAAAAAAAAAAATATATATATATATATATATATATATATATATAAATTTTGATAGTTTCTTTTAAACTTACAAAATTAAAGCTACGTCAATATTATTCGACGAGGGAGCAAGTAGGAGCTAGCGGTGGGCGAGCGCGGTGTGTAGACCCCGTAGACTGCGTCACTCAGCGCGAAAAGTCAGTCGCAGTAAGACGCAGTGCCCGCCATTGCTCTGGTGTTTCACTCCACCCTTGACTTATCTCTGATGTTATAAACTCTAGTTCATATGATTTTCCTCCATACAATACCGAGGCTCTAAAATAATTGTATGGGCGTAAATTTCTAGAACATGAAATACCGAATGTTAATTGACCGGGGTTTTTTCAGATTAGAAAATTAATAAAAAAGTCTAGAAAAATTTAAGCCATAATTCATTTCACATGAATAGTTTAACTACCACTTATCTTCGTCCTCGTCAACCGTCACCCACTGAACTTCCACTAAGTGGCTAAGTTAAATTCAAGTTTTTATTTTAATAACTACCAGCTTCACCATTTAGTCATCTAGTTTTAAAACAAGTAAATTAATTCCAAAGATTTCTGCTAGAATTGATAAAAATTAAATACAATGAAAAAGCGGTTCACCTGCAACGCGTACTTTGACCGCTGACGCCCACTGAGCAGGGAGTCAGCCAGAAGGCAGGAAATTTTTAATTTACAAATATGTACTGTACATATTTCCGGACAATTTGATCAGTTGAATATTAAAATCGATGTAATAAAGTATTTTGAAAATAAGTTTACAAAAGGAAAAAATGCAACCATTTCTGGTAAAGTAGAATTAACCACTATCGTGAATAGACAAACGCTAATATATATA